AGTGGCTAGAGAAGTCCATTCAGTGATAGAGCTTTGGATTCAAACCAGTATTGCAAAAAAACCAGAAATGTAAATGAAAATATTTTAAAGACTTAAAACTCCCTTGATAACTTAAAAGATATTAGTTAGCTACAGAATTATGTCTCAAAGATGCGGTGGTTTCTGTGTCACAAAATAAGGCTGGAGCAGTCATGCTTCTAAACCCAGACTTGAGCTAATTACTTGAAAACACATTGCCTTTTCCACTTTTTCCTCTCCAGGTTATTGAGGTGGTGATCCGCTCGAGGAGGGGCTCTCCAGGGACATGAAAAACATCTGAACAGCATTGAAGAACAGATTTGGAAAGTTTAACATGGAGTCACAATTCTGGCACTGTGGAAGCTCTTCAAGGCTTTCTTCAACAAAGTTCCTACTTGTGAGGAAGTGAGTCAGGGCAAAGTTAATGCTCCTATCATTCTTAAGCTTCGTAAGAATAAAAATTCATATACTATGTAATTCACTCACTTAGGTGTATAACTTAGTGGTTTTTAGTATTTAAATATGTGAGGACATCAAAACACGAATTTAAAGTATAATTCATCCTTCAATAAAAAGCTTGCACACTTTAGCTATCATTATCTACCCTTGATCCTAAGCAACCACTAATCTACTTGCTGTCTGTATAGATTGCATATTCTGGACTTTTCATACAAATGGTCAGACATTTCCGTGGTGACTGGCTTCTTTCACTTAACATGTTTTTAAAGTTCATCATGTTGCAGCAAATATCAGTCCTGTCATTTCCTTTATTGCCAAATATTCCATTTATGGATATGCTATGTTTTATTCATCCATTTATCAGTAGAATTTGGTTTGTTTCTACCTTTTGGCTATTGTGAATGATGTTCACAAGGTTTTATGTGGACATTTTCATTTTTCTTGGGTGTATATCTACCAGTACTGTTGCTGGGTCACATGGTAACTGTTTTTAACCTTGTAGAGAACTGTCAGACTGTTTTCTAAAGTGGCGACACCCTTTACTGTCAGTTAAAGATTCCAGTTACTCAACATCCCTGTCTATGCTTATAATTATTTGTCTTTCTAATTATAGCTATCCTAGTAGATGTGAAGGAGTATTTCGTTGTGGTTTTGATCTGCATTTTCTTGATGGCTGATAATGTCCAACATCTTTTCATGTGTTTATTAGCCATTTGTATATGTTTTTGGAGAAATTTCTACTCAGGTCCTCACCCATTTTTTAAAAAAAATATTCATTTAATTATTATTATATTACTATTTTTGGCAGTACTGGGGCTTGAACTCAGGCCTCACACTTGCTAGGCTTGCTAGGCAAGCACTCTACCACTTAAACCACTCTACACCCTGTTCTGTATTGGTTTTTTTTTGAGATAGGTCTCATGAACTATTTGCCTTGGCGGCTTTGAACTGTGATCCTCCCTGATCTCTGCTTCCTGAGTAACTGCAATTACAGGCATAAGCCACTGGTGCCTGGCTCATTTTATTTTATTTTTTGAGACAGGGTCTCACTATGTTACCCTGCCTGGCTTTAAACTCATGATCAAACTGAGGATCAAACTCACAATCCTCCTAGGTGAGCCTCACAAATGCTGAGATTATAGAAGTGTAACACCACACCTGTAATGATGTAATTGATGGTGTCTTTTGGAATTGATGGTGTCTTTTGGAATTGGTGGTGTCTTTTGGAACACAAAACATTTTTAATTTTGAGGATGTGCTATTTATCTAGTTTTTTTTCCACCTCTGTTGTTTGTGCTTTTGGTATCATATCTAAGAAACCATTAATCTTACCATTTAAAAATTCCAAATATTTATAAAAAGATTTGAATACTTTTCATTTAGTGGTATTTAGAATGAAAAAATCATGTTTGTGAAAATTTTGGGCAAATCACTTATTAACAGCTCACTTTTGTCTTTTTTTTTGGGGGGGTGCAGCACTGGGGTTTGAAATTGGCCTCACTCTTTCTAGGCAGGTGCTCTTACCACTTGAGCCACTCCACCAGCAACAACTCAATTTCATGTGAGGTTTTTTCTTTGACCTTTGTGTTATTCCTGACTTTTTTTATTTTTCTTTCTTTTCTCTATCATCTTAAAGTTCATTAATCTTGATTTTTTTTTCCCTAATTCCTAACTAATGGAAGAACTGTCTAAGACCAGGAAGAATTAAAAACAAGATTTATTTATTTTAGCAGTACTGGGGTTTGAACTCAGGGCCTCATGCTTGCTAGGCAGGCACTCTTACCATTTGAGTCACTCTGCCAGCCCTTTTTTTGTGTTGAGTATTTTTGAGATAAAGTCTTGATGAACTATTTGCCCAGGCTGGGTTCAAACCATAATCCTCCTGATCTCTGCCTCCTGAGTAGCTAGGATTATAGGTGTGAGCCAGTGGTGTCAGGCTAAGATTTTTTTTTAATGGTACTGGAGAGTGAACCTAGGATCTGGTACTTGCTAAGCAAGTGCTTTAGCATTTGAGCTGTGCCTCAAACCCAAGATATTTTCTTGAAATTTTTCTTCCATGCTCTTTTGTTCTTCTGCAGCATACTAATTAGTTGGTAGTCTTCAGTATTCATCTGAATATGTCCATTATAAAATCCATTGAGATTCCAAGACAACAAAAATAGAGAATTTGAAAAAGCACAAGAAGAAATAAAAGAAACCATAGAAGCACTATATAAACACCAAAGTGAAACAAAGAACATGATTAATAAAGAGATAAATGAACTCAGGACAAAAATAGACAACATTAAAGAGGAAGCGACTCAGGATATGGAAAACCTCAGAAAAAAGAACGAAACAGAAGTGCAAAACAAAATGGAAGGCCAATCCAGCAGAATAGAACAAACAGAAGACAGAATCTCATAACTCAAAGATGAAATGGTAATTAAAGGAAAACCCGAAGAACTATTAGTTAAACAACTCAAGACCTGTGAAAAGAAAATGCAAGAACTCACCGACTCCATCAAAAAATCAAACCTGAGAATCATGGGCATTGAAGAAGGAGAAGAGGTGCAAGAAAAGGGAATGCGTAATATATTCAACAAAATAATAACAGAAAGTTTCCCAAATCTAGAGAAATCTATTCCCATACACATGCAAGAGGCCTCCAGAACACCAAACAGACCAGACCAAAATAGATCTACCCCATGGCATATTATCATTAAAACAACAAATACAGAGACCTGAGAAAGAATATCGAAGTCTGTAAGAGAGAAAAAACAAATAACATACAAAGGTAAGCCCATCAAAATCACAGCAGCCTTTTCAACAGAAACATTAAAAGCAAGAAGAGCTTGGGGTGAGAACTTCCGGGCACTGAATGAAAATAATTTCAACCCCAGGTTACTCTACCCAGCAAAACTATCATTCAAAATAGATGGAGCAATAAAAGGCTTCCATGATAAGCAGAAACTAAAACAATATGTGACCACAAAGCCACCACTACAAAAGATTCTTCAAGGGATTCTGCACACAGAAAGTGAAACCCAACATAACCATGAAAGGACAGGCAGCACCAAACTACAGGGAAAGAAAAAGCAAGAAAGTAGAGAGTAACCTCAACTTAGGTACACACAATCAAACCTTCAAACAACTAAGACAACTAAATGACAGGAATCACCACATACCTATCAGTACTAATGCTTAATGTTAATGGACTTAATTCACCCATCAAAAGGCACTTTTGTTTTTGTTTTGCACTTTTTAATGGCTTAAAAAGGAAGATCCAACAATTTGTTGCTTACAGGAGACCCATCTCACTGACAGAAATAAGCATAGGCTTAGGATGAAAGGCTGGAAGAAGATTTACCAAGCCAATGGCCCCCAAAAACAGGCAGGAGTAGCAATACTTATCTCTGACGAAGTAGACTTCAAACCTACATTGATCAAACGAGATAAAGAAGGACATTCCATACTAATAAAAGGGGAAATAGACCAAAAGGAAATAACAATTATCAACCTAAATGTACCCAATGTCAATGCACCCAATTTCATCAAACATACCCTGAAGAATCTAAAAGTAAAATCCGTTGAGGAAGTAAAAGAAAACTAGGAATTTAAAGGAAAAAGATTTGGATTGAAACCTTTGCTCTTATTATTTAGTAGTAGTGTGATGACAGGCAAATTTCATATTTTCAGCCTCAATTTTCCCACCCCTAATGGAGGATGAGAATGCCTACTTCAGAGGTGTACTTCTATTGATTGGTAGTTTACACTGATGAATTACAATATTAACTGAAATGGACTTTTGTTATATGTTGGCAACATTAACAGTTTAGCCCTTTAGGCAAGTTATATTTTGCGAAGAAGTAAGAAGGAAAGGAAAATAAAACAGTAAAAGGAAAAACTTTTTTTCTCACTTTTTCCAAGTTTTAATCACTGGGTTTATCCATGTAAAGTGTTTTTGTTTTTCTAGGTTATATTCCCAAACAACTTTGAAATTGGAAATGGAGGAAACATACAAGGACATCTTCCCATGAGCCAATGTCTCCTAATAATGCATCCAAGAGTGAAGGAAGTTTCGACTGACTGCGGGAGTCTTCAAAGGGGTAGGTTTAGCATTGGTAAAATAACTTTTAAAATATTTTTTCCAACTAAAGCAGATACCTTAAAGCAACTGAGGCCAATAGGAAAAGGGGAACAGGTACTAGAGAAAAGGTTAGATCAAAAAGAATTAACCTAGAAGGTAATACCCACGCACAGGAAATCAATGTGAGTCAATGCCCTGTATAGCTATCCTTATCTCAACCAGCAAAAACCCTTGTTCCTTCCTATTATGGCTTATACTCTCTCTACAACAAAATTAGAAATAAGGGCAAAATAGTTTCTGCTGGGTATTGAGGGGCGGGGAGAGGGAGGGGGCGGAGTGGGTGGTAAGGGAGGGGTGGGGCAGTGGGGAGAAATGACCCAATCTTGTATGCACATATGAATAATAAAAGAAAAATGAAAAAAAAAATAAATAAATAAAAACAAACCAACCAAAAAAAAATATTTTTTCCAGAGAAAATTTCAAGTCAATAATATATTAAAACTAATTTCTTCATCAAGATTTAAGAAGGGGCTAGAATTCTAATCTGATTTTGAATATTATCCATTTTTTAAGTTGCAGTATAAATTATTGTGGAAATGTTATTTGGACATTTTTAAGTAAGCATGCTTGACCTTAAGTGTAACAAAAGTTATAGTCTTTATTTGTCTATGCATGTCTCTATAAAAAGGATAAATGTTTAAAGCAAAACAAAGAGCTTATATTCTCTTCAGGGTGCTTAAGTTCATCTAATAAGTGACTTACAAATACTTAAAATCATTCATTTTGAGGGCTGAGGGCATGGCTTAAGTGGTATAGTATACTTTACCTGCTAGACAATCCAAGGCCTGATTTCAAACTCTAGTACCACCAAAAAAAAAAAAAACATAGGTAAATTGTCCATTTTGAGCCTACCAATGGAAGATTTTAGTGCATTCTTTCTTATTTTCTCTTGTGACATGGCAAACTGCCATGTGCATTGCTTGTATTATGTAACTCTTGAACTTTTGTTTGGTTTTGAAACAGCATCTTGCCATGTAGTCCAGGCTGGCTTCAAACTTCTGCCTCATCCTGCTGAGTGCTGGTGTTACAGGTATGCACCACCACACCCAACACTCTTGAATTTTTAAAAATGAGTTAATAAAATCTTACTACACAGTATCCCTGAACAAACCTCAGATGACAATTACTCAGGTTACACAGTAAGGTAGCTCTACATATATTTTTGGACTCCTTGTGTCCACAATCTTTGCTTTACATTCAGTGTAGGTTCACAAAGATGATTATGAAAGCTATGAATGCAAAGCATTGTGTTTCTTTTTTTTGGCAGTACTGGGGCTTGAACTCAGTACCTCACATTTGCAAGGCAGACACTCTGCCACTTGAGCCACGCTTCCTGCCATAAGCAATATTATTGAAAATAATTACCACTGTTTTGTGACCTTTACAGTTCTTATCAGAATGTTAAAAATTCTTCTGTCAGTTCTGAATGTTTAGAGAAGTGAAGATGTAAAAAAAATATTTGCGTATACTATAGCTTAAGCCATTAGAAATACTGAGAATTACTTTCTTTTTTTAAAAACTTCCCAGGCTGTGCTAGGAGTGTAGCTTAGGAATAGAGCATTTGCCTAACATACACTAGGCCCTGGGTTGGATCCTCAGCACTGCAAAACAAAACAACAACAAAATAATTTACCAAGAATAGTTTAAACAGTATTTGCTGCCTTCTTAATATGTTATTAACTAAGCATCTTTTCTGTGTATTGGCAAATGGTCATGTTTCTTTTTAAGTTCAGATCAGTTATTTAGTTGCACATCCATTAAATTTTTGAGTATCCACCATAGCTTTTCTCATACTGTGCTAAGAAAGTATCATTTCAAGAAGTTTGCAGCTGACTTCATGACTATAACTCAAGTGTCTCCTTAAAATATCACCTTTGAACGTTCCTACTCAGATTCAAGGGCTACTTTGGCTTTCTTAGATATAAAGTAAAGTATCATGGGGACTGCAATAGAAATTTCCACTTGTTTACCAAGGACCATGGAGAACAGAGCAACTTTCATAACACACAGTATTATGGAAAGATGTTTATTTATTCATGGAAAAATTTTTATTCAGCCATGACTCTCATACACAAAACTTCCAAATATTGCCAGGAGAAATTTTATACCTTTTAAGTGTGTTTTGACAATAGATTAAAGACTAATTACCTAATGAATGTAACAATAAATACATAGATGCCTCCACTGGGGATACAGCTCAGTGGCAGAGTGCTTGCTTAGCATGCACAAAGAACCTCAGTTTGAGCTCTAGCACTTAAAAAAAAAAAAAGGAAATTAAAGTACATTCTTTATATACCTGAAAAGAAATAATTGGCTGAGGAAAATTGGAGATAATTGTGGAAAAAGATGCAGGATTGAAACAAACAACCGAACCCATGTACCTACTGGGGAGAGGATGGAGATAGACCTGTAGAAGGATAGCACTGGAAGGACATAGTCCATCACCCTTTCTTTTTGATCAGCACACTGCTGCTAGCCCTGAGAGTAAGGCAGGTCGGCAGAGTCATACCACCTTTACTCATATCTTCTATTAAAGATGATTCTGTATCTGTTAAATCACAAACTCACAGCTCTGTCTTAAACTGCTTGGAGTGAGGAGGAAATAAAACTGTGACCCAAATCATTGATTTTTGCTTTTGCTTCCCTTGGGTACTATTTACTAAGTAAGACTGGGAAGGTAATTAGACGACTTCTTAAATCTAGTCACTCTACCGCTCACCTTCTACTTTATTCTTAATATGTTGTACCTTTGATGCAGGCAGAGGTTCAAGAAATCAGGAAGAGAAGCTATCATAATTTTCATATTATAATGATTTATTTAATGCCCCTCTTTCCCACTAAACTTGATATTCTGTGCAGGCAGAGGCCATGTTATTTACCGCTAGATCCCTAGTGCCTAGCATATGAGTGAGTAAACCTGATTATTATTTTGGAATACATTTCAAACTTTCACATTCACTTTTCTCTTTATTAGATATGCAACCACTGTCTCCAATTTCTGTCCACGAGCGCTATAGTTCTCCTACTGCAGGGAGTGCTAAGAGAAGACTTTTTGGAGATGATGCCCCACAGGAAATGTTCATGGACAAAATTATGACAGAAGGAACAAAATTGAAAATTGCTCCATCTTCAAGCATTACTGCTGAAAACATATCAATTTCACCTGGGCAAACTCTTCTAACAATGGCCACAGCCACAGAAACAGGGGCATTGGGACATAAAGTTACAATTCCATTCCATGGTAACATCTTAATGCATTTATTTCATTGTTTTCTGAGTTAGATAAAAGTTTAAGAATGTTTTATTGGGTTAGATCACATGATCTTTTTTCTAACTCAGTATTTTTTCTTGAACCTAATTCTTTTTTTTTCCTCTTCTTTTTGACTTGTTATTTTAGAACAGTTTAAGGTTCACAGTAAAACTGAGAGAAAGGTACAGAAATTTTCTATACACCCCACAGTCCTTCACACCCTCTCAGCCTCCCCAACCATCAACATTTTACAACGAGTGGTGCATTTGTCACAATCAATCTGCGTACATTGACATATCAGCACCCAAAGCCCATAGTTTATAATAAGGTTCACTCAGGGTGTTATATACTCTGTAAATTTTGACAGTGTTTAATGATATGTATATTTCTACCATTTTAGTACCATACATAATAAATTCACTGCTCTAAAATTTTTTTGTGCTCTACCTTTTGTTTTGAACCTATACTGTTCTTCCAATTTTTACATTTTACAAATTTACTATCCCTTTGTTAGGACTTATTTTGCTTCTTATCCAAGCTTTCTAAATGGGTATATTGAGCAAGAATTTTGTATTTTAAGTAAAGATATCTTCAGTGCTCAAACAAGAACAAAATTGGCTTTTTTAAAGAATAAAAATACATAAGCACATACAAAATAGATTACAAAATTTGTTTCTTTAAATATAAAAACATCAAACAAATAGAATATTCTTGTTTTAGGGAGAAATAGAAAACATGAATTCATCTTAGCATATTTTGTACCTTTCTTTTCCTAACATATTCCTATGCTTATACACACAGACACATACATATATATTTGGCAAAATATGTATAATTGAGAAACTTCCTAGAACACAGCAGTGTATTTCTAAAACTGAGAACTCTTGCTTGTACATTCAGGTGTTGCAAATGATGCTGGAGAGATCACACTGATACCTATTTCTATGAATTCAAGTCAAGAGTCCAAAGTTGAGAGTCCTGTATCACTGACTGCACAGTCATTAATTGGTACTTCTCCAAAACAGACTCATTTGACTAAAGCACCAGAGGTTCATCTGACTGGAATAAGCAAACCAAAGAGAACTGGGTCCTTAGCACTGTTTTACAGAAAGGTACGTGTTTTTATAGCATCTCAAAAGAGTTCATTTAATCAACTGCAAGAAAGATTGAGTAACAGAGAGCAGCTTTGGCTTTTTTTTTTTTTTCTTAATATATGTAACATAAAATTTGCCATCATAACCTTCTTACCTGTTTTATTTTATTTTTGTGGTATGGGGAATTGAATCCAGAATCACCCATACTTGCTGGCAAGCACTCTTCCATTTGAGGCACACTCCAGTCCTTTTGCTTTTAATTTGCTATTCATATAGTCTCCTACAAACTTTGAACCATGATCCTTCTACCTGTGCCTCCTGAGTAGCTGTGATGCCATCTTAACTATTTTTAAGTGCACAGTTTGGTATTAAATAATGCCATCCATCTCCAGAACTTTTTCATCTTCCAAAGAATAAGCCTCTATTTTTTCCTCCCCCAAGCCCCTGGCAACCAGCATTCCATTTTTCTGTCTCTATGAAGTTGACTGCCGAAGGGACCACATATGAGTGAAATCATATAATAGTTTGTCCTTTTTTTTGTGACTGGCTTATATCACTGAGCATAATACCTTCTAGGTTCATCCATGTGGTAGCATATATTAGAATTTCTTTCCTTTTTAAGGCTGAATATTCCATTGTGTGTATATACCACAAATAGCTATTATGAATAATACTGCTTTTAATTTTTGGGTATTTTACAAGAAGTGGAATAATAGTTTAATATTTAGTTTTTTTAAGCAACTTGCATACTATTTTCCACAATGGATGTGCCATTTTACATTCCTACTAGCAATGCACAAGTCCTCCTTGCCAACACTTGGTATTTAAAAACACTAGAGTTTTTAAATAATAGCCATCCAGTGGCTATAAAATAGCATCTCACTGTAGTTGGATTTTCATTCCTGTAATGGTTATTAGGTTATTAATGGTAAACATATGGGTGTGTTAGCCATTTATATATCTTCTTTGGAGAAATGTCAATTCGAGTCTTTCACTCATTTTTAATTGGATTTCTTTATATATTCTGCATATTAATCCCTTTTCAGACTTACATATATTTCCCATTCCTGGAGTGATCTTTTTATTCTGCTGTTAATGTTCTTTGATATACAAAAGTTTCTAATTTTGACGTAATCAATTTATCTACTTTGTGGCTGGGGAATTTGACTAAAATGGTAGAGTACCTGCCTAGCAAGTACAAATCCCTACATTCAAACCTAGTACTACACACACACAAAAAAAGGTTTTCTTTTTTTAGGGGGAGGGCAGGGTCTCACTATGTAGCTAAGGCTATCCTTTAACTCATAATCCTCCTTCCTGAGCTTTTTTTTTTTTTTTTTTTAATGTTTCTTTTATTCATATGTGCATACAATGTTTGGGTCATTTCTCTCCCCTTCTCCCCGCCCCCTCCCTTTCTCCCCACCTCCTCTCTCTCCCCCCTACCCCCTCACTACCCGACAGAAACTATTTTGCCCTTATCTCTAATTTTGTTGAAGAGAGAGTATAAGCAATAATAGGAAGGACCAACGGATTTTGCTAGTTGAGATAGGATAGCTATACAGGGAGTTGACTCGCATTGATTTCCTGTGCATGTGTGTTACCTTCTAAGTTAATTGTTCTTGAACTAACCTTTTCTCTACTTCCTGGTTCCTTTCTCCTATTGGTCTCAGTTGCTTTAAAGTATCTGCTTTAGTTTCTCTGCGTTGAGGGCAACAAATGCTATCTAGATTTTTAGGTATCTTACCTGTCCTCATACCTCCCTTGTGTGCTCTCGCTTTATCATGTGATCAAAGTCCAATCCGCTTGTTGAGTTTGCCCTTGATCTAATGTCCACATACGATGGAGAACATATGATTTTTGCTCTTTTGGGCCAGGCTACCTCACTCAGAATGATGTTCTCCAATTCCATCCATTTACCAGCAAATGATAACATTTCGTTCTTCTTCATGGCTGCATAGAATTCCATCGTGTATAAATACATTTTCTTAATCCATTCGTCAGTAGTGGGGCATCTTAGCTGTTTCTATAACTTGGCTATTGTGAATAGTGCTCCAATAAACATGGGTGTGCAGGTGCCTCTGGAGTAACCTGTGTCACATTCTTTTGGGTATATCCCCAAGAGTGGTATTGCTGGATCCTATGGTAGATCAATGTTTAGCTTTTTAAGAAGCCTCCAAATTTTTTTCCAGAGTGGTTGTACTAGTTTACATTCCCACCAGCAGTGTGAGAGGGTTCCCTTTTCCCTGCATCCTCGCCAACACCTGTTGTTGGTGGTGTTGCTGATGATGGCTATTCTAACAGGGGTGAGGTGGAATCTTAGTGTGGTTTTAATTTGCATTTCCTTTATTGCTAGAGATGGTGAGCATTTTTTCATGTGTTTTTTGGCCATTTGAATTTCTTCTTTTGAGAAAGTTCTGTTTAGTTCACTTGTCCATTTCTTTATTGGTTCATTAGTTTTGGGAGAATTTAGTTTTTAAGTTCCCTATATATTCAGTCCTTTGTCTGATGTATAGCTGGCAAATATTTTCTCCCACTCTGTGGGTGTTCTCTTCAGTTTAGAGACCATTTCTTTTGATGAACAGAAGCTTTTTAGTTTTATGAGTCCCATTTATCTATGCTATCTCTTAGTTGCTGTGCTGCTGGGGTTCATTGAGAAAGTTCTTACCTATACCTATTAATCCAGAGTATTTCCTACTCTTTCCTGTACAACTTTAGAGCTTTGGGGTCTGATACTTAAGATCCTTGACCATTTTGAGTTAATATTGTATAGGGTGATATACATGGATCTAGTTTCAGTTTTTTGCAGACTGCTAACCAGTTTTCCCAGCAGTTTTTGTTGAAGAGGCTGCTTTTCTCCATCGTATATTTTTAGCGCCTTTGTCAAAGACAAGTTGGTTATAGTTGTGAGGCTTCATATCTGGGACCTTTGTTCTGTTCCATTGGTCTTCATGTCTGTTTTTGTGCCAGTACCATGCTGCTTTTATTGTTATTGCTTTGTAATATAGTTTGAAGTCGGGTATCGTGATACCTCCAGCATTGTTCTTTTGACTGAGTATTGCCTTGGCTATTCTTGGTCTCTTATGTTTCCATATAAATTTAACGGTAGATTTTTCAATCGCTTTAATGAATGTCATTGGAATTTTTATGGGAATTGCATTAAACATGTAGATTACTTTTGGGAGTATAGACATTTTTACTATGTTGATTCTACCAATCCATGAGCATGGGAGATCTCTCCACTTTCTATAGTCTTCCTCAATTTCTTTCTTCAGAAGTGTATAGTTTTCCTTGTAGAGGTCGTTCACATCTTTTGTTAGGTTTACACCTAGGTATTTGATTTTTTTTGAGGCTATTGTAAATGGAATTGTGTTCATACATTCTTTCTCAGTTTGTTCATTATTCGTGTATAGAAATGCTAATGATTTTTCTATGTTGATTTTGTATCCTGCTACCTTGCTATAGCTATTGATGATGTCTAGAAGCTTCTGAGTAGTTTTTTGGGTCTTTAAGGTATAGGATCATGTCATCTGCAAATAGGGATATTTTGACAGTTTCTTTACCTATTTGTATTCCTTTTATTCCTTCTTCTTGCCTAATTGCTCTGGCTAGGAATTCTAGTACTATGTTGAATAGAAGTGGAGATAGTGGGCATCCTTGTCTAGTTCCTGATTTTAGAGGGAATGGTTTCAGTTTTTCTCCAGTAAGTATAATGCTGGCTATAGGTTTGTCATATATAGCTTTTATAATGTTGAGGTACTTTCCTTCTATTCCTAGTTTTTAGAGCTTTATCATGAAATGGTGTTGGATCTTATCAAAGGCTTTTTCTGCATCTATTGAGATGATCAAGTGGTTTTGTCTTTGCTTCTGTTAATGTGGTTTATTACGTTTATTGATTTTCGTATGTTGAACCACCCCACATCCTGGGATGAGCCTACTTGGTCGTGGTGAGTGATCTTTTTGATGTGTTGTTGAATTCGGTTTGCCATTATTTTGTTGAGGATTTTTGCATCAATGTTCATTAAGGAGATTGGCCTATAGTTCTCCTTTTTGGAGGTGTCTTTGCCTGGTTTTGGGATAAGTGTAATACTGGCTTCATAAAATGTGTTAGGCAGTTTTCCTTCCTTTCTATTTCGTGGAACAGTTTAAGGAGGGTTGATCAGTTCTTCTTTAAAGGTCTGATAGAATTCAGCAGAGAATCCATCAGGTCCTGGACTTTTCTTTTGGGGAGACTCTTGATTGCTGTTCAATTTCATTTTGTGTTATAGATCTATTAGGTGATTAATATCCTCTTGGTTCAGTTTTGGGTGATCATATGTATCTAGAAATCTGTCCATTTCTTTAAGATTTTGAATTTATTTGAATATAGGTTCTCGAAGTAGTCTCTGATGATTTTGGACTTCCATGGTGTTTGTTGTTATCTCCCCTTTTGCATTCCTGATTCTACTAATTTGGGTTTTTTCTCTCCTCATCATTTTAGTCAGGTTTGCCAGGGTCTGTCATCTGTTTATTTTTTCAAAGAACCAACTTTTTGTTTCATTAATTCTTTGTATGTGTTTTTTTTTTTTTTTTCGTTTCTATTTTCATTATTTCAGCTCTTGTTTTTATTATTATTTCTCTCCTATTTGTTTGGGATTTGCTGTTCTTGTTTTTTTCTGGATTTGAGATGTATCATAGGTCATTGATTTGGGATCTTTCACTCTTTTTAATGTAATGCATCTGGCTATAAACTTTCTCAGGCGACTGCCGCTTTGCTGCGTCCCATAGTTTTCCAGTAGGGTGTGTTTTCATTTTTCATGACTTCCAGGACTGTTTAATTTCCTCTTTTATTTTCTCAATGAACCAATTGTTCAATTAAGGAATGAGTTATTCTTCAGCTGTTTGTATGTTTTTTGTCCTTTACTTTTGTTGTTGAGAATCTAGTTTTAATATTGCATTGTGATCAGATAGAATGCATGGGTATAATTTCTATTTTCCTTATAATTTGCTGAGGCTTGCTTTGTGCCCGTAGGATATGATAT